TGAGTCCAGAACCAGTCCGAGTGAGTCTAGTACCAGTCCAAGTGAGTCTAGTACCAGTCCGAGTGAGTCCAGTACCAGTCCGAGTGAGTCTAGTATCAGTCCAAGTGAGTCCAGAACCAGTCCAAGTGAGTACAGTACCAGTCTGCGTGAGTCTGGTACCAGTCCAAGTGAGTACAGTACCAGTCCAAGTGAGTCCAGTACCAGTCCAAGTGAGTCTAAAACCAGTCCAAGTGAGTCCAGAACCAGTCCAAGTGAGTCCAGTACCAATCCAAGTGAGTCCAGTACCAGTCCAAGTGAGTCTAGAACCAGTCCGAGTGAATCTAGTACCAGTCCAAGTGAGTACAGTACCAGTCCAAGTGAGTCCAGTACCAGTCCCTGTGAGTCTAGAACCAGTCCAAGTGAGTCCAGTACCAGTCCAAGTGAGTCCAGTACCAGTTCGAGTGAGTTTAGTATCAGTCCAAGTGAGTCTAGTACCAGTCCAAGTGAGTCCAGAACCAGTCCAAGTGAGTCCAGTACCAGTCCAAGTGAGTCCAGAACCAGTCCAAGTGAGTCCAGTACCAGTCCAAGTGAGTCCAGTACCAGTCCGAGTGAGTCTAGTACCAGTCCAAGTGAGTCCAGAACCAGTCCGAGTGAATCTAGTACCAGTCCAAGTGAGTCCAGTACCAGTCCAAGTGAGTCTAAAACCAGTCCAAGTGAGTCCAGTACCAGTCCAAGTGAGTCCAGTACCAGTCCAAGTGAGTCTAAAACCAGTCCAAGTGAGTCCAGTACCAGTCCGAGTGAGTCCAGTACCAGTCCAAGTGAGTCCAGTACCAGTCCAAGTGAGTCTAAAACCAGTCCAAGTGAGTCCAGTACCAGTCCAAGTGAGTCCAGTACCAGTCCAAGTGAGTCCAGTACCAGTCCAAGTGAGTCTAGAACCAGTCCGAGTGAATCTAGTACCAGTCCAAGTGAGTACAGTACCAGTCCGAGTGAGTCTGGTACCAGTCAAAGTGAGTCCAGTACCAGTCCAAGTGAGTCCAGTACCAGTCCAAGTGAGTCTAGAACCAGTCCGAGTGAATCTAGTACCAGTCCAAGTGAGTACAGTACCAGTCCGAGTGAGCCCAGTACCAGTTCGAGTGAGTCTAGTATCAGTCCAAGTGAGTCTAGTACCAGTCCAAGTGAGTCCAGAACCAGTCCGAGTGAGTCTAGTACCAGTCCAAGTGAGTCTAGTACCAGTCCGAGTGAGTCCAGTACCAGTCCGAGTGAGTCTAGTATCAGTCCAAGTGAGTCCAGAACCAGTCCAAGTGAGTACAGTACCAGTCCGCGTGAGTCTGGTACCAGTCCAAGTGAGTACAGTACCAGTCCAAGTGAGTCCAGTACCAGTCCAAGTGAGTCTAAAACCAGTCCAAGTGAGTCCAGAACCAGTCCAAGTGAGTCCAGTACCAATGCAAGTGAGTCCAGTACCAGTCCAAGTGAGTCTAGAACCAGTCCGAGTGAATCTAGTACCAGTCCAAGTGAGTACAGTACCAGTCCAAGTGAGTCCAGTACCAGTCCCTGTGAGTCTAGAACCAGTCCAAGTGAGTCCAGTACCAGTCCAAGTGAGTCCAGTACCAGTTCGAGTGAGTTTAGTATCAGTCCAAGTGAGTCTAGTACCAGTCCAAGTGAGTCCAGAACCAGTCCAAGTGAGTCCAGTACCAGTCCAAGTGAGTCCAGAACCAGTCCAAGTGAGTCCAGTACCAGTCCAAGTGAGTCCAGTACCAGTCCGAGTGAGTCCAGTACCAGTACAAGTGAGTCCAGAACCAGTCCGAGTGAATCTAGTACCAGTCCAAGTGAGTACAGAACCAGTCAAAGTGAGTCTAGTACCAGTCCAAATGAGTCCAGAACCAGTCCAAGTGAGTCCAGTACCAGTCCAAGTGAGTCCAGTACCAGTCCAAGTGAGTCCAGAACCAGTCCAAGTGAGTCCAGTACCAGTCCAAGTGAGTCCAGAACCAGTCCAAGTGAGTCCAGTACCAGTCCAAGTGAGTCCAGTACCAGTCCAAGTGAGTCTAGTACCAGTCAAAGTGAGTCTAGTACCAGTCCAAGTGAGTCCAGTACCAGTCAAAGTGAGTCTAGTATCAGTCAAAGTGAGTCTAGTACCAGTCCAAGTGAGTCCAGTACCAGTCCAAATGAGTCCAGTACCAGTCCAAGTGAGTCCAGTACCAGTCCAAGTGAGTCTAGTACCAGTCAAAGTGAGTCTAGTACCAGTCCAAGTGAGTCCAGTACCAGTCAAAGTGAGTCTAGTACCAGTCAAAGTGAGTCTAGTACCAGTCAAAGTGAGTCTAGTACCAGTCCAAATGAGTCCAGTACAGGGACGTGCAGTCAGGGGAGGCAGGGGAGGCAGAGCCTAACCTGCCATTATTGGAAACTAATAATTATTTTAGTTTAAATATATAATTTATATCCACTGTCCTATGCTTTTAATGTATATTCGGCACGGTTCCCATCAGTTTTGATCATTTCTGAAGTCAAAATCGCCGAAATCCCGTTATTCCTATTCAAAGAGACGAGGTGAGGCAGCGCTCCTGCGTGCCTCACCTCAGACCGCTCCCTCACAGTGTGTGTGTGTGTGTCTGAGTGCACTCAGCTCGTGCAGTTGATATATCACCGTTTGTTTCAAATATCCTGCTTTAAAAACATTTTTTAAACTCCTCTTAGTGTTTAGTAGTGTATTGCACGTATGTGTGTACAATTTATATTTAGTTTAAGTCTTTTGATCGTAGATGAACACACAAGGAAAAAGCTTGGCGTGAGGCAGGCGGTATCTGTGCCTCACCGCTAGGGGTGATAGTGAGCATAAAGTTCATACCAGAGTTGCTAACAAACAATCAGCCCAAAATGCTATTTCTTTTGCTGGAAAATGGATGATTTGAATGAAGATTTTTTTTCTCAATTGGACTTTCAAACAAAGAAAGAATTAATATAGACTGGGAGACCACCACTGGACTTACGAGGTTAGTCCGGCTGCGGGGGAGGAGTTTGTTAATCTGTGTTTTATGTTGAACATTGACAGATACCGGCAAAGTAGTGCTTTTCCGAAAAACACTGATTCAAACACTGCTCAAGAGTTCTGCAACTTGTTTAAATTATTGTTTATGTTCCTCGCGTCTCTCTCTCCTCACGTCTCCGTCTCTCTCTGCTCCTCTCTGTCTCTCTCTGCTCCTCTCTCCTCGCGTCTCTCTCTCCTCGCGTCTCCGTCTCTCTGCTGCTCTCTGTCTCTCTCTGCTCCTCGCGTCTCTCTGCTCTCTCTCTGTCTCTCTCTCTCCTCTCTCCGTCTCTCTCTCTCCTCGCGTCTCTCTCTCTCTCTCCGTCTCTCTGCTCCTCTCTCTGCTCTCTCTGCTCCTCTCTCCTCTCTGCTCCTCTCTCCTCGCGTCTCTCTGCTCCTCGCTCTGTCTCTCTCTGCTCCTCTCTCCTCGCGTCTCTCTCTCCTCGCGTCTCCGTCTCTCTCTCTCCTCGCGTCTCCGTCTCTCTCTCTCTCCTCTCTCTCCTCTCTGCTCTCTCTCTCCTCGCGTCTCTCTGCTCCTCTCCCTCGCGTCTCTCTGCTCCTCTCTGTCTCTCTCTGCTCCTCTCTCCTCGCGTCTCTCTCTCTCTCTCTCTCGCGTCTCTCGCTCTCTCTCCTCGCGTCTCCGTCTCTCTCTCTCCTCTCTCCGTCTCTCTCTGCTCCTCTCTCTCTCTCTGCTCCTCTCTCCTCGCGTCTCTCTCTCCTCGCGTCTCCGTCTCTCTCTCTCCTCGCGTCTCCGTCTCTCTGCTCCTCTCGTCCTCTCTCTGCTCCTCTCTCCTCGTCTCTCGTCTCTCTCCCTCTCTCTCTCTCTCTCTCTCTCTCTCTCCGTCTCTCTCTCTCTCTCTCGTCTCCGTCTCTCTCTCTCCTCGCTCTCCGCTCTCTCTGCTCCTCTCGTCTCTCTGCTCTCTCTCTCTCCTCGCTCTCTCTCTCCTCGCGTCTCTCTCTCCTCGCGTCTCCGTCTCTCTGCTCCTCTCTGTCTCTCTCTGCTCCTCTCTCCTCGCGTCTCTCTCTCCTCGCGTCTCCGTCTCTCTCTGCTCCTCGCGTCGCGTCTCTCCTGCTCCTCTCTGTCTCTCTCTGTCTCTCTCTGCTCCTCTCTCCTCGCGTCTCCGTCTCTCTCTGCTCCTCGCGTCTCCGTCTCTCTCTGCTCCTCTCTGTCTCTCTCTGCTCCTCTCTCCTCGCGTCTCTCTCTCCTCGCGTCTCCGTCTCTCTCTGCTCCTCGCGTCTCCGTCTCTCTGCTCCTCTCTGTCTCTCTCTGCTCCTCTCTCCTCGCGTCTCTCTCTCCTCGCGTCTCTCGCACCTGCGCTTCTTAAAGATGTTGTTTGATGCGGAGCAGAGTCAGCAGCTAGATTTGTTGTGAGATTATTAAAAGAAGCTGGTTCTCTTATCTTTACAGTATATAAAGTTTGTGGATGTCATTGCATTGGTGATTAAATGCTATTTTATTTGAATAATGATTGTAAATCTGACTTTTAAAGTCAGTGCCTCCCCAATCACAAACCTCACCGCACGTCCCTGGTCCAGTACAAGTCCGAGTGAGACCGGTACCAGTCCAAGTGAGTCCAACTCCTTCGAGTCCAAGCTAATCTTTAACGTCCGTCCTTACTAACTCTAACCATAACAAGTGTTAATTACGGAAGAATATTAAATAATTAAATCACAACAGCAGCTTTAAAATTGGGAACCTCTGCTTTAAGTTTGTTTTCATTTGATTTCTAAAGCCACCGACTAAATCCTGCTGCAGCTGTGGTGGAGACAGAGTGAGCTAATCAAAGAAGACAGTAATGACTGCTAAGTGCACGCGGCTGTGTTAGCGTAGCGGCTGTATTAGCGTAGCGGCTGTATTAGCGCAGCGTCGTGGCCTTGTCAGAAGTGCTGCTGGAGCTCGTTCTGGCCTCACTTTGGGCTCGTCGGCCTTCAGCGCCGCCGCTTCTCCGTGTTTGTAATATTGCTTTGCTTTGATTACAGCCTCTCTCTCCTCTTTCATCAGATAACGGCGGGCGAGCGAGTGGTCCTGTGACAGCGTTGCCTTGAGACAGAAGGAGGCTGCACCGTGAACGCCGAGGAGAAGAAGAGAAAAGATTGGTTCCAGATTGCCCAGGCACCAAAAAGAAAAAAAAAAAAAAAAAAAACTTGACACTTTTTTTCATTTCCTACCTGGTCTACGAGAAGAAGAAACGCACACACACATGGACCCACGCATACACACACACAGAAACATAGAGACACACACATACACACACACACACGGACACACACCAACGAGGAAGACGAGGATTCCGCTGTGGACGGCGCAGAGACACGACTGGGCACAGTGCAAGATAGTGTAGTCTGGAACCTGCCTCGAGGGCTGGGCTGACGCTTGAAATGTTTCTCAAAAAATACATTAAAAATAGGTTTTAAAAAAAAATGTAGAAAATAACAAAAAAACAAGCCAAAAAAAAGTCAAAAGGACGAATGCGCAGGTAGATGAAGTTTATTTTGTAATTAATACAGGGGTTTGAGACACACACACGGATTGTCTTCCTCAGATATTAAGCTATGTTCTTTTCACTCTTTTTTTAAAGTTGTTGTGTTTAGTTTTACTTTTCTAGATATATTGAAATGTTTTTTATTTGTTTCCTCTTTAAAAATTAATGGCCTTAATTTCAAGGGCGCAAGAAACTTTTTAAACTCCGAAGTCTGTGTTGAAAGGACGCCAGGCTAACAAGCTAACAGGCTAACAAGCTAACAGGACGCCAGGCTAGCAAGCTAACAGGATGCCAGGCTAACAAGCTAACAGGATGCCAGGCTAACAGGATGCCAGGCTAACAGGATGCCAGGCTAACAGGATGCCAGGCTAACAAGCTAACAGGAAGCCAGGCTAACAAGCTAACAGGATGCCAGGCTAACAGGATGCCAGGCTAACAGGATGCCAGGCTAACAGGATGCCAGGCTAACAAGCTAACAGGAAGCCAGGCTAACAAGCTAACAGGATGCCAGGCTAACAGGATGCCAGGCTAACAAGCTAACAGGCTAACAAGCTAACAGGACGCCAGGCTAGCAAGCTAACAGGATGCCAGGCTAACAAGCTAACAGGATGCCAGGCTAACAGGATGCCAGGCTAACAGGATGCCAGGCTAACAGGATGCCAGGCTAACAAGCTAACAGGAAGCCAGGCTAACAAGCTAACAGGATGCCAGGCTAACAGGATGCCAGGCTAACAAGCTAACAGGATGCCAGGCTAACAGGAAGCCAGGCTAATAGGGCGCCAGGCTAAAAGGATAACAAGACGCCAGGCTAACAAGCTAACAGGATGCCAGGCTAACAAGCTAACACAGAGTTTTGGACCAGACGGAGGAGTTGTGGTTTTAAAAAAAAGATAAAAAGATCTATGACATAAACTGTACAGATTTAATAGAGAGCTTTTTCTTTTAGAGGAAAACTTTGATAATTATGTCAGAAGTAACTCTGTGTCTGTGGAATGACTCCGGGCGACGCTACGAAGAGATTTTTCACACGGAGTAAAAAGAAAACTGAACTTTTCTATGACCATGAATATGATTTTACAACAGTCGCTGTCGATGACATATGTGCTTTTTATCTGCCACATTTTATCTTTTTTATGAGCTTTAAGATGTTTTTAGCCCGCTTTGCTTGTCACACCGCGTTAAGTGAAAACGTGTTAAGACTTTAAAGGGGCGCTGTGTAACTTGGCTTTAAACTGAAAGAGCTAATATTGAATACTGCTATAGTGGTGGAAACTAACGAAAAGTTACAACAAATTGGTTTGTCAATGCGCTGCAATCCAGGAATTTCTTCACTGGGGGACAAATAAATGTTCTTAAAGGATCTTAAAAAATAGTCAAAATTTTAGGTTAGAGACATTTTTACGTAATGACTTCTGGACGAATGATGAAAAACCCATATTATATTATTTTATTACTGAACGGAAAAAATACTGTCCGTGTGATTTAAAGCTGAGGTACTTAACTCTCAAACCACAACAATGGAACTGTGTAATAACATCCAGACGGTTCAGTTCTTTCTGGTTCCATCTCTTGGCGTCTGTCACTTCTTTGGATCCGGTTTTTCAGACAGAAAAGTGAAAAAGAGAGGACCACCCGCTCTCGGCCAATCAGCTCTCAGCCTTAAGAGTCAAATAGTGACTCACAGGGATCTTTCTATTCCAGTTTGCAAAAGATACAGGTTGTTTTCTCACACGGCGAAGCAGGTGTTTCTGATTTGTTTTTAACATTTTAGACTTTCTGTTGGAATATGTTATTTATGAAACGCAGAAGTCAGGTACCCCAGCTTTAATGGATATTATAGCACATCTGGAAACATCGTAAACACATACAACTGAGTGTGTCTGCAGACTTTTTAACTTACTAATTTTAGATACATTGCTCATAGACTTTATCGCCCCCTGTTGGAGAAATGTGTCCAGCAGCAGAAACGCATCCAAACAAAAACATCATTCTAAAAATCACTAAAACAGTTAAATTCCACCACAAACACACACGACCGACTGAGTTACACGGCGCTCTTTTAGAATCCACGAGGGTAAAAAAATCCGCCGGTGAAACAAACCAGTAGATAAAGTGCAGTAGGAGCTTATACGGTTTTAACCAATCAGCGCAAAAGCAATAGAAGAAATTGTTGACAATTTCTGTAGTCTTTCCTGTAGGTGTGGGCTCACGCAGCCCCGGGACGGCCATTTTTATACCAAAGATGAAGAGAACTGAACGCGTGGACTCCTGTTTGAGTTTCTCTTTGGTTTGTTCTGATGTTTGTGACGTTGTTGATGTTACTGTTGATATTGTGATTGTTGTTCTTGCTGTTGTCGTTGTTTTTGATTCGTTTGGATTTGGATCAGTCTCCTCCCTCTCCTCCCGTTCACCAGATGGAGTTATCTTCAGTTCCAAACCTTCTCCTCGGCGGTGGCTGCAGCTCCTGATCCTTCTCTGGGGATGAAAAAACAAAAACACAGATTGCGGTGGTCATCCATGTGTCTTTCCTCCGGACGTTCTTCTCTAAAACCCGGACTAACGAAGCCGTGGACCTGAAGTGTGGATCTCCCGCTGCTTCCCGACCTCTTTTCCGCCTCCATCAAACGAATCAGGTCACGTTTGAGCGAAGAGAAGCTCAGATGAGTTTTGTTTAATGTGCATCAAAGGGAGAAAAAAAGGAAATGTGTCCAAATTTGGCGATCGCTGCAGACGGTAAAAACGGCGTGGTTGGAAATGTGTGAAAGAAGCTTGGTTTGATAGACTCAGAGGAAACGTGATTGCATTGATTAGAAAGAAGATGTCTCATTTGTGTAGCTAACATTTAGATATTTATGAAATGACAGGTTTTTATCGCACAAACATAAGTGAGCCGCGGTCCTCGCCAAAGACCAGACCTGGAGTTTGTTCTGATTGACAGCGACATCGGGGCTTTTCGAACCATCAAAACTATATAATTCTCTAATCGTTCTAAATGTGGCTTGATTTGGTCAAAGAGAAAGGTGCATGTGTGTGATGAGGATTAGAGAGAGGGACTCGGGCGCTGGATGGATTAGAGACGTAGAAAAGGTGTAAGAAGTTGTTTAGCCCTTAGAGGTTTATCAGACAGAAATGAAATGTACAGTACAGTCTGTTCGAGGCCTGAAACACGGGCATCTTGATTAACAAACAATGCAAACAAGGCAATACTCAACGGACTTTTATACCAGTTGTATTTGCTACAGAAATTGAAGCTATTGTAAATTTCAGACTTCAAGCCGCGGTGCACCGACAGAATTGATGAGTTCAGAGATTCTTTGTGTAAATAAATAATAAATAGTTCTTTGTACAGACATGAAAAGAGTATTAGTGGATGTTGCTCATTTCTGCGTCACACCGAAAGATTCAGAAAAGTCCGTGACACTTCTTACTCTTATCACTCACAGTAAAAACAGTAAATTGGAGCTACATTTTTCAATATTCCAGAATGGGGCAGGTGTGGTTTTTAATCCAGTGCACCTTGTATAGGTACAGAATGCAATGTATTTCCCAAAAATGTAGATCATGCGGCTTATAGTCTGGAAAACATGGTACTTACAGTTATAAACAAGTCAGAGTAAGTTCGTAAACATACAATAAACACAAATATTTCAAATGATGGAGATTTACCAGGAGCAGAAACTGTACATTTGCCTTTGGAGTCTGGCTATTTAGAATTCACAGCTAAATACAGAACCCCACATGCAGCAGCTCATGCACAATGTGTGTGTGACCTGTTAATTCATATTTGTTTCTGCTGCCCTTTAGAGAGACGACAGTAGTAGCGGCGACTGGTGCGTGGAAATCATTGTCGCACTTTTACACGGTTAGAGACGTCCTGAGATTCTAGATTTCCATGTTGGTGTTAGCATGAATCAAAGACAAATGTTAGATCATCTTTCCCAGGTTTCCAAATGTAGGAAGCCCATCGTGGACCCTTTAGATTTTTGACATTCTCCCTCGGATACAAGAACAGCCCTGACAGAAAGGCTTTTGTTTTCACTTTTGTCATTGGTTCCACACAATTGGAGAGGTCAGGGCTCCGGTGGGGACTAACTATAGCCTCCCTACCTGCCATAACAAGACCATGATATCATCTCCTTCTATGACCCCATGTCAGTGTACACCACCTCCCAGCCGGGCACCAAAACAACCCATCGTCCGAACGACTCCATCTCCCAAAACTGTCCCTTGTCGTATGAAATTGCCGATGTGTGAAGCCATTTGGAGCCTCCCATTACAACCTCCCGGAGTGTGGCTCTGTGAAGGAGGTCTCTGTCCAGGAAAAACACACCGTTAATTGGCTGTAGTTGTTATAAGCCGGGTCTGAGTGTAAATGGTGCCTCTGTACCGTAGTTTTCGGATTATAAATCGCATTTTTTGTCATAGTTTGGTCAGGGGTGTGGCTTATGTGTCTTATAGTTTAATGTTATATTTTATTTACCGTAAAATATCAAAATAATAGCCCATGCTTTTAAGCTAAGTTA